GGGCTTTGGGGCAGCTATAGGGTGTCTCTGGGGGCTATGGGGACTTGGGAAGCTATGGAGCCTATGGGTGTCTATGGGGCCTATGGGGTAGCTATGAGGTCTATGGTTGTCTATGAGGTCTATGGGGCAGCTATGGGGCCTATGGGTGTCTATGGGGTCTATGGGGCAGCTATGGGGCTATGGAGTCCATGGGGTGTCTATGGGGCCTATGGGATGTCTATGGGGGCTATGGAGTAGCTATGGGATGGCTACAGGGCAGCTATGGGGGCTATGGGGTGTCTATGGGTACCTATGGGGCAGTTATGGAGCAGCTATGGGGGCTATAGGGTGTCTATGGGGACCATGGGGCAGCCGTGGGGCGGGGAGGTCTCTAAGGCATCTGTGGGGTGTTGCTAGGTGTCTATAGGGGATCTCTGGTGCATTTATAGGGGATCTATGGGGTGTCTACAGCACATCTCTGCAGTGTCTATAGGGGATCTATGGGGTGTCTATAGGACATCCCTGCAGTGTCTACAGGGGATCTATGGGATGTCTATAGGGAATGTATGGAATAACTATAGGGGATCTCTGGAGCATCTATAGGGCACCCATGGAGTGTCTAAAGGGGATCTACGGGGTTTCTATGGAGTATCTAGGGGGCATCTATAGGCCCTTGGTGGGGTGTCTAAGGAGGATCTATAGGAGTCTAAGGAGGATTTATGATGGGTCTGCAGGTCATCTATAGAGGATCTATGGGGGGGCGGTCTATGGGGTATTTATAGGGGCTCCATGGGGTGTCCATAGGGGATCTACAGGTGGGTCTATGGGGTGTCTATAGGGGCTGGGTGAGGTGTTCATAGGGGATCTATGGAGTCTCTATAGGGGATCTATGGGGCACCTATAGGAGATCCATGGGGTGTCTATGGAGTACCTATGGGGCACCTATAGGGCCTTGGTGGGGTGTCCATAGGGGCTGTGTGAGGCATCCATAGGGGACCTAAGGGGGGAGCTATAGGGCATCTATAGGGCCTCAGTGCAGTGTCTAAGAAGGATCTATAGGAGTCTAAGGGGGATCTATGGTGGGTCTATGGAGCATCTATAGGGGATCTACAGGGGGGTTTACGGGGTGTCTATAGGGGGGTCTCTGGGTGGGTTTATGGGGTGCCCACGGAGCTGGGCAAGGTGTCTATAGGGGATCCACGGCGGGGGGGCTCACGTTGACGCCGTGGCGGAGGCGGCTGTGCAGCAGGGCCCGGGGCTGGAGCTGCTCGCGGGGGCGGGCGCCGG